TATATGACTGCCAAAACTTGCAGGCTTCAGTCTAGTGCTATATGCGTGCGAGATGCACGTGCAAAGGGACGCCTGGATTCACATGCGATGCTGAGCCGTCCGATCCGGTGAAAATGAGAACAAAATATTTCAAGGAAAGCGCAATATCAAAGCCATCATGATGTCTCATCATGGGCCTTGGGAATAAATGTACAATCAAGCAGTGTCGGCACCGACGCGCAAAAAAAAAAAAAATCTGGACTCGCCTGAATATACTATGCAGCGAGTGTGAACCGTCCGGGAAAATTAAGAAAAAAAAATATTCCGACGAATGATTTCTCATCGTGGGTAAAAACTCTTGTACGATCTGGAGGCGTATGGTTTTAGCTAAAACTCTGCCCATTTTAGCCAGTGCAGTGGGGCAGCGTTTTAGCTAAAACCATTCAGACATCGTACTAGGAGATAAACTCGTTCTAGTTATTCGCTAAAACCTCCCTCTGAGGAGGTTTAAGTTGCAGTTTTATTTTCGAGTTGAACTCGGTCTAATTAAAAAAGCGTTCAGACATCATTTAATAGCAAGAAAGTTACACTGAATCGAGTTCAACTGGTGTTTTAAGGAAATTTAAAACGGTGTCTGAACGATCCCATACACTGGAACGATTAATAACATTGTTTACTCTGACCGCTCAATCATGACTAGTCGATCTGAGCTTAGTATACCCAGAACAGTTGGCTTAGCTCAGTGGTGGAGCACTCGCCTCGCACGTGAGAGGTCCAGGGTTCGAGTCCCCAAGCCGGACCATGGACTCGAATTTTTTTGGGGGGCTTATGTGCTGTGCATTTAACGTTGTGATGTATTTAAAATGTTCTAGTGTGCGATGCGCATTCATTTCTTTCTACCCCTGATATTTACTATGTTAAGAACTGCGGGTAAGTACTTTAAACATAATTTTTTTTTTATTCTGACTTGATTGTCAGCTTACATGACAAATAACATGGCTCGCCATGTAACGGGGACACCAACACATTATACGTGTGACGCAAAAAAATGTTGCAACCTGACGCCACTTTGGCAGTTGTAGAGAGTCTATAGAGAGTCAAGAAAATTTTCTTAGTATTTCAGTATTTTCTAACACAATTGAAAACGTTCCTCAGTCCCAGATTCATGTAATCACAACTTTACGAAGTAAATGAATTTCAAACTTTTTACTGTCGTGCAGATATTTACGACCACATAAACCAGTGATTTCACTTGTAAAAAGCACACAAATTTGTCGTTGTCATTGCCCATTTTTTCATCATGGGTGAAGAAGATAAATTTGATTTGTACGATTCTTGTTTTAAATCACTAGGACAAACCATAACCACATACTTAAAGTGTACAGAGTGCAGACAAAGGTATACACTGTGTAACACATGCTTTCCGTAAGGATAATTTAGACATGCATTTTACCATGTTGCACCGAAATGTCTTCCGTGGAGGTCAATAATCTCTGCGTCACCCACGAGGTCTTAGTCTGGTTTATGTTGTGCGTGATGCAATAGTTTCATGCTGTAGAGTCAAGACATACGCTAGTGTGCATTGTTTCATGTGGGCTTTCTGCATCAACGATTTTGGGAAAGATAATCTGTCCAACTTCTGTGTTTAAATTAATAACTAAGAAAGCGACATTCAAGGCAGTTTGACCTGACGTTTTTTTCTGCTAGTTTGCTGTAGTTGACCTGTGCTCAACAAAGTCGCGAGTCTTTGGTTTCATGACTATTTGTATGCAATCATTGTTAGGATTGTGACTCTGAGGGGCAGACATGTTTGGGGGGAATAACACATGGGGATTTGTAATGCTGTCACATTCCTGATTTTGTTATTATATTTGTTCGACACTAAATTAACTGAATAATTTACTCCTCACATGGTTATGTTATGTATGTGTATTGTTTATTGTCATGAAAACAAACTTACAAATTGTTATTTGATCTGTGGTTAATTTCAGATTAAACCTAGTTATATTCCACAAGTACATTTGCGTGGAAAGCGTCAATGGCCACTTGAGAGTGAAGGGTTTATGCAAACAAGGCAGCAGAATTGCGTTACAGTTTAATGACTTTGAGTCACTCTCCAAGTTATTGGAGTTATGGCGTTCCAGTCAACGTTGGCGACCAAATTGAGACGGCTGCCCGCCACCAGTACTTACCTGACAACCACCCATGATGTTCACAGTCCAGTCCAGGGGTTGTGTGTATTGCACCTGATGTTGAGTGTATGCAGTTGACTGACCCAACTTGCGCCCTACATGGTGAGAGCCGTAATCATCGGGTATTTCCTCGTGGTCCAGAAGGGGACAAGATTTGAATCGTGAATCATCTTGGACAATTTGATTGCGGCCAAGTTCGTATACCTGTACATGTACTGTAACCTTTGAACGAGCACCTGATTCTGTGTTTCGAGGATATTCCAAGTTCATCGAACTGTGACCTGTGACCTTTGAGCTTTGGACAAGCACCTGATTCTGTGTTTCGAGGATATCCCAAGTTCATCGAACCGTGACCTGTGACCTTTGAGCTTTGGACGAGCACCTGATTCTGTGATTCGAGGATATCCCAAGTTCATCGAACCTTGACCTGTGACCTTTGAGCTTTGGACGAGCACCTGATGCCGTGTTCGAGGATATCCCAAGTTCATCGAAATGTGATCAGTGACCTTTGAACTTTGGACGAGCATCTGACCGTGTTCGAGGATATCCCAAGTTCATCGAACTGTATACTTTGAACTGCATGTGTGTTTGATTTATTGCTTGATTGTTGTGTAATTATCTTGCTAATTACTTGTAGTGTTTGGTATTTCACATAATTTACATTTTCTTCACATAATTGTGTTGATTTATTGATTGACTGGTTGGTAAAACTTTTCTGATTTATATAATATTGGTATTGATCATAACGTACTGCTATTCCATTTTTCACTGCTGTAATTTGATAGTTCACAATGTCAGTTTCAAATGCCAGTAGATCCAGCAAGGCTGGTACTTCCAATTCAATTAGTAGTGCTAGGCTCAAGGCAGCTGCTACTTTAGCAGGTCTTCAGGCAGAAGCCGCAAGCAGGATAGCGTTGAAAGCCATTGAAGAGGAAGAGTTTAGACTTGCTCAGCGTAAGCGAGACTGCGAACTCCAGCTGGAAATTGCCAAGGCAGAGGCAGAGCAAAGGGCTCTGGGAGACATTGAACAATCTTCACATGAAGACGAGCCTAAGCCAAGCTTAGTTGGGTCGACGGCTGCAGAGAAGGTGGATCAGTGGTTAACTGGTAACCCGCCACCATCTGCTCCAGTGCAGCCATCATCGCCCATGGCAGCGATTCCTTTGCAACGTGAGATGATTGACACGCTGCTCTTGCCGAAGTGTGAGCTGGTCAAGTTCAATGGGGACCCTCTTGAATACTGGATCTTCATCTCTAGCTTTGATGCAGCTGTTGGCAACACCAGCGTTGGGGCCAGCGCCAAGCTAAATCGCCTGTTCCAGTATTGTTGCGGAGAGGCGCTGGCAGTTATCAGATGCTGTGCTGTCATGCAGCCGGATGAGGGCTACACAAGGGCACGGGCATTGCTGCGTGAACGCTTTGGTAACGATTACAGGATTTCGGAAACTTGGGTCAGTAAACTTACAGAGGGCCCGCGCATCCTGCCAGGGGATTGCAGAGGTATCCAGAAGTTAGCTGACGATCTTCGGAGTTGCACACTCACTCTGACAGCGATGAAAAAGCTTGGAGAAGTTGACACTAAAAGGAGCCTTAGCCTCATCGTAAAGAGACTGCCACAATTCGTGCAGGGTAAATGGCGTTCGAAAGCTGTGGGCATTCTGGACAAGACTGGCCACTACCCCGATGTTGCAGAACTTGTCAAGTTTATCAGCAAAGTAGCTCGAGAGGCAAATGATCCCGTTTACGATTTGGAGAACCGGCACAGCGATGAGAAATCACCCAAGAAGAAGGGATCCAACTACAATATCCAAGCCACCAGTGAGGTCGACCACAGGTCTCGGGTTGGGACTGACTCGCCCAAGCGTCAATGTGGCAAGAACGAATTGGTGAAAAGGACAGCTTGTCCATTGTGCTCTGGGGAACATGCACTCGCGGCATGCGACAACTTTGGTAAGATGTCTCCTACTGACCGAGTCAAAGTGGCGAGTGAAAACAAGCTGTGTTTCAACTGTCTCTCCAGTAGGCATTTTTCAAGGCAGTGTAAAGCAGCTCCCTGCGGTTTCCAAGGATGTAGAGGAAAACACTCGAAGCTGCTACATGGTGTATTCCAGAGGGCGAATTCTGAAGATGGAGGTGCTCCTAAAGAATCGCCTGATGATCAGAAAGTCGGAGCAACAAGTCTCGCTCGTGGGTCCAGTCAAGAACACTCTAAGATAGCCCTACCAGTTGTCGCCGTGATGGTGAGAGGTGTGGGGAGTGGGGAGTGGCTCAAGACAAATGCTCTTCTTGATCCCGGGAGCAACAGGTCGTTCTGCACAATGGAGTTAGTGAAAATGCTGGGTGTAAAGGGCACCCCACAGTCTTTGTCTCTGGACACGTTGAACGAGAATGCACAGGTTCAAACAGTTGTGCTTTCGTTGGACGTGTCTGGAACTGTCGGCAAGGCCCATACCAGAAAGTCTTTCTGCATACCAGAGATTCACGCTCTGAAAGAGTTTCCCACTCTGCGAGATTCCTGCGCTACCTTTGAAGATGTGAAGAAGTTTGAACACTTGAGAGACATTCCTGTTCCATGCGTGGCTAAAGATGGTGTAGCGATTCTCATTGGACAAGATGTCCCACAGGCCCTGGTTCCATTAGAGGTGAGGCGTGGTGCGGAAGGCGAACCCTACGCAGTCAGAACCTGCCTTGGATGGACGGTGAATGGACCGTTAGCCAGTGGGAGTCCAGCAGCAGCAGTGTCAAACTTTGTTCAAGGCGGCCTTGCTTGAAGCTCAGGTTGAGCGATTTTGGAAGCTCGATACTGCGGACCTATCAGATGACAGAACCATGTCACTTGATGACAAGAAGGCAGTCAAGACATGGAATGACTCAGTCAATCTTGTCGATGGCCACTACCAGTTAGACATACCATTCAAGTCGGACACTCCAGATTTGCCTGAGAACAGGATTGTCGCAGAAAGGCGCTTGCAATCCCTTGCCAAGCGGTTTACCAAGGACCCCGGTTTGCACTCAAGATACTGTGCAGAGATACAAAATCTGTTGAGCAGAGGGTTTGCTGAGAGAGTGCCTGAGCACGAGCTGGCATCATCAACGGGACGAACTTGGTACTTACCTCATCACTGCGTTCTGAACCCCAACAAGCCTGAAAAGCTTAGAGTTGTGTTCGATTGCGCTGCCAGATGCTGTGGTACTTCGTTAAATGACAGAGTATTACAGGGGCCGGACATGATGAACAAGTTAGTTGGAGTCCTTACCCGTTTCCAAGAGCACAAAGTTGGATTGATGGGAGACATCGAGCAGATGTTTCATCAGGTTGGAGTCTCCAAGGAACACAGAGATGTGTTACGATTCCTATGGTGGCCTGAAGGGGATGCTACTCGACCTCCTGAAATGTTTCGTATGACGGTCCACCTTTTCGGAGGGGTATGGAGTCCGAGTTGCGCTGCATTTGCTCTTCGGCGAACGGCAGATGACAACGAGGATATGTTCAGCAGTGATGCAGTCCAGGCGGTAAAAGAGAACTTCTACGTTGATGATCTTCTTAAATCCTTCAAGTTGGAGGATGATGCAGCATTCATGGTGAAGCAGCTGACGCACCTTCTAGCTAAAGGTGGCTTCCACTTGACTAAGTGGATCTGCAGTAGCAGAAATGTCATGGATTCCGTACCGACGGCTGAAAGAGCCAAGACAGTCACCGACTTGGACCTTGATCATGAACGTCTTCCTGTGGAAAGGGCCTTGGGAGTACGTTGGCATACCGAAAGTGATCAGATTGGAGTCAAGATAAAGTCAAGGCGAGGATGTCACACTAAGAGAGGTCTGTTAAGCATTCTGAGCTCCGTTTACGATCCTCTTGGGTTCGTGTGTCCATTTGTTCTGTTAGCCAAGCCCCTGTTCCAAAATGAGTGTAGAATAGTTGGGAAGGGCTGGGATGAGCCATTGGAAGTCAGTACGCAAGATCAGTGGACCAGGTGGCTGGATGATCTTCCCAAGCTGGAGCAGTTTTCTGTTGATAGGTGTCTGATTCCTGGTGATTTTGGAATTGTTGAGGAATGTCGTTTGCATCATTTTGCTGACGCTTCACAAGATGCCTATGGCCATGGGCGTCGCGAGGGGGGGGGGGGGGCAAGGGGGGCACTTGCCCCCCCCCGGAAAAGCAACAACAACAACAACAACAACAAAAAGGAAGAAAAAGGAAGAAAAAACAAAAACAAAAGGAGGCGCGAAGACAAAGTGGTGTAAATTTAATGAGTTGGGGGGGGGCAAAATGTCCCTGCCCCCCTCTAAAACTGATAAATCGAGAATGTGTTGAGAAATACAAGCATTTTTTGGCAAAAAAAATTTTTGCCCCCCTCTAGAAAAAATCCTGGCGACGCCCATGCCTATGGCTCTGTTTCTTTTGCCCGCTTTGTCAACACTGATGGTGATGTTCACTGCAGCTTTCTGATTGGCAAATCACGACTCGCTCCGTTGAAGACCATGACTATCCCTAGACTAGAGCTGTCTGCTGCTGTTATTGCAGTGAAGATGGACCAGATGCTCAGAAGAGAACTAAGGGTTCAGGTGAAAGGGTCAACGTTCTGGACAGACAGTACGGTGGTACTCCAGTACATAAGTAACCAATCAAAGCGTCTCCAAACGTTTGTTGCAAACAGAGTTGCCACAATTCATGATGGATCTACCGCCAGTCAGTGGAGATATGTCAATACACAGCAGAATCCTGCTGACGATGCATCTAGGGGGCTCGATGCCCAGAGTATGCTTGACAAGATAAGATGGAGAAAGGGTCCTGATTTCTTGTGGCAGACTGAGGACAGTTGGCCTGTGACTCCACAAATTCCTAGTCTGCAGGAAAAGGATAAGGAAGTGAGAAAGGTAGCACTGTCCCGAGCCATAGATGTTGTTGACCAGGATGACCCCATTCACAGGTTGATCAGCAGATACTCGTCTTTGTATCGTCTCAAAAGGGTGGTCGCATGGGTGCTCCGCTTCATAAAGTGGCTGCGACTCCATAGGCCAAGGAACCTGGATAATGGAGATAAGGGAAACCAGAGGTTGACTGTGGGTGAACTGCAAGATGCGGAGCTGGCCATAATCAGGAGCGTTCAGAGAAGGCACTACAAGAAGGAGTTCCGTGATTTGTTGGCGGGAAAGACTTCCGTGCAGAGACAGAGTCACGTGTATAGTCTCGAACCATGCGTAGATGACCATGGGGTATTGAGGCTTGGTGGTAGACTGCGACACTCTCCAGTCGGGCCCACTTGCTAGCATCCAGTGATACTACCTCGTGATAGTCATCTGGCCACTTTGATAGTTCGTCATGCACATGAATTGATATCTGGCCATTCGGGCAAAGAGCATGTGCTCTCTGTGATAAGACGACAATATTGGGTTCCCAAGGTGCGACCTTTGATCAACCGCATTTTGAAGGAGTGCGTGCTCTGTAGAAAACTTCGGGGACTGCCTGGCGTTCAACGCATGGCCGACCTACCTGCCTACAGAGTGACTCCAGGCAAACCACCGTTCACCCACGTTGGGGTTGATTGTTTCGGACCGTTTCATGTCAAACGAGGGAGGAGCAGGGAAAAGCGATATGGCTGTATTTTCACCTGTATGCGAATCAGAGCAGTCCACCTGGAGAAGCTACACTCTCTAGAAACTGATTCGTTCCTCAATGCCTTCCTAAGGTTTGCGGCAAGGCGAGGAACCCTGGAGAAAATCTATTCCGACAACGGGACTAACTTTGTTGGAGCAGAAAGGGAGCTAAGGGCAGCTATCGAGCGTATACAGGAAAGCAAACAGACGGAGGGTTTCTTTCTCAGCAGAAAGATCGAATGGCAGTTTAACCCGCCAGTGGCCTCCCACATGGGAGGCGTTTGGGAGCGCCAGATTCGTACATGCCGGAAAGTTCTCAGTTCACTTCTGCGTGATGAAGTGCTTGATGACGAGAGACTCGACACATTGTTCTGCGAAGTGGAGTCTATCGTAAATGACCGACCCATCACAGCAGTCTCCGACGATCCGAAAGATCTCGAACCCCTTACTCCCAATCATCTGTTGAAGCTTGGACATGGGCATCCAGTTCCACTCCGTGACTTGAAAGCAACTGACCAGTATGGGAAGCGATGGAAACACGTACAGTTGCTGGTTGAAAGGTTCTAGAAGCGTTGGACTGCAGAGTATCTTCCCACGCTTCAACGCAGACAACGTTGGCTTGAGCCACAAGCCAATTTCAAGGCTTGTGACCTGGTGTTGGTCAAGGATGACAATTTGCCCAGGAGTCAGTGGCCTCTAGCGAGGATTTTGAAGACCTTCCCTGGAGCCGATGGTCTGGTTAGGAGTGTGGAAGTACGGACAGCCACTGGAAATCATGTCAGGCCAATCACCAAACTGTGTCTGTTAGAAGGTGTTAAAGACTAGAAGCATCTCCTTACCCAATTGGACCAAGTTCTTAGTTAAAAGGCAACACGTTTAGGTTCCAGTTTAAAGTTTAATCGTTTTATAAGGTTTCCTGTTAAGCTTGGTTACTTGTTGTGATTGTAAATGTTCGTTGATTACTCTTACATTTAAGGGGCCGGAATGTAACACATGCTTTCCGTAAGGATTATTTAGACATACATTTTACCATGTTGCACCGAAATGTCTTCCGTGGAGGTCAATAATCTCTGCGTCACCCACGAGGTCTTAGTCTGGTTTATGTTGTGCATGATGCAATAGTTTCATGCTGTAGAGTCAAGACATACGCTAGTGTGCATTGTTTCATGTGGGCTTTCTGCATCAACGATTTTGGGAAAGATAATCTGTCCAACTTCTGTGTTTAAATTAATAACTAAGAAAGCGACATTCAAGGCAGTTTGACCTGACGTCTTTTCTGCTAGTTTGCTGTAGTTGACCTGTGCTCAACAAAGTCGTGAGTCTTTGGTTTCATGACTATTTGTATGCAATCATTGTTAGGATTGGGACTCTGAGGGGCAGACATGTTTGGGGGGAATAACACATGGGGATTTGTAATGCTGTCACATTCCTGATTTTGTTATTATATTTGTTCGACACTAAATTAACTGAATAATTTACTCCTCACATGGTTATGTTATGTATGTGTATTGTTTATTGTCATGAAAACAAACTTACAAATTGTTATTTGATCTGTGGTTAATTTCAGATTAAACCTACTTATATTCCACAAGTACATTTGCGTGGAAAGCGTCAATGGCCACTTGAGAGTGAAGGGTTTATGCAAACAAGGCAGCAGAATTGCGTTACACACTGTACATGTATGCGGAATGTTGTCTTTACATTACATGAAGATGTAGCCAATCTCATTCATACAATACCATAAGTCTTGTCTGCAGTTTGAAATATGTACAATACTATAGTTTTAGACTAAAGATAATTCTTTTGACAAATCAAATATTTGAGATTACTTTTTCAATTACAGATTAGTTATGTTATCAATTATTATTAACATTTTAACAACTAAAGTGTCATTTTTGTAAGAAATATTCTCAATTAATTGTTAGTTGAAATGTAATTCGTTTTCCTGAAAATGTTTACCGTTCATGTCATTCATCAAAGCTCATTTTCAATAAACATTTCTGACGAAACCTTTATACACCATTTCAAAGATGTAAAACTTTCTTCCCATTAGTGTTTCTCAGATACCGCGTTGAGAAGGGTCGGGGCACAATTAGGCACATTGTCTTCATTGGGCAAATTGATAGTGCATCTCCATTTTTTGTAATTGCGAGAGCGGCACTTGCTTTTGGTAGCCAGTTCAGCGTCCGTTTTATTCGCGTGAAAAGCACTATTATGTTTAGGAGTCAGTTTCCTTCTTCAGGAGAGCCACAATTTCAATGTTGTGAGCGGTCGACTAATTAAGCTTTCGAGGAGCAGTTGTCCATCTTGAGAAGGTCTACAGAGGGGTACTTGTCATTTTGAGGACCAATTTTGCATTTAATACAAAACAAAAGGCAAACTCTGTATCGCGATCACCTGTTTGGGGGTTTATTACATTGTCAATCAATCAATGAAATTCTGTAAAGAGAATCGCCCCCAATCATGTGAATATTTATACCATACACCGTTTACGATGTTCACCAGTCACAACTCGTGATGAGATATGCACTTGGCCTCGCAGTAAAAAAGTGGCACAATACAATCACAACGGCCAAAAGTGAAATTACAGTGTGCTAGCTAGATAAAGTGCCGATATGAACACTCACTATGCATGTGCATATACATGTAGTCCTCTTGTTTTTTTCAAGACGACAGTTTTGGCAGTTATACGTAAGCTATGTACATGTACGTTCGTGGTATACAGGTAATTTTACCTGAAGTCCTAATAAAACACGCCCTCACAACCACGTGCATGTGTGGTGTATGGGAAGCAGGCGATGCCGAATCTGGTCAATGTATACATGCACACACTTGCGGTTTATGCTCGCTTTGGACAAGGCATTTTTTATACGACGCCGCGTCAACTGTGTGAACAATTTGACAAGCTGGGAACTTGGCACTGTTGAGGCAAATGTTTACGCTATCATTTAATGGGCAATTCAAGATTATATCTGTACGGATTGATTTGTTAGCAATTTTTGAAAAAAGGAAAGGTATTTTCAACGGAACTTCCGGTCTGATGACATCATACGCCTAAAACTTCGCACACGTCATAAGTGGGTCAAGGTCATCATATACACCAATATTGCAAACTTCGCCACAGACATCTATTCAAAATACATTTTTGAAAATGTTCAACCTGTCGCTAGAGGGCGCTCGAAGATTGCATGACGTCATCGGTAGATGATTAAAGAATACTATCAGCCAGTGATGTAGTGCCTTGATGCTGGGCCTTGGCCTTAAGGCTGCCTTAAGGCTGGATTTTAGGGCCTTGGCCTTTGCCTCGAGGCTTGAGGGCAAAAGCCTTGGCCTTGGCCTTAAGGGATCACGGCCTTGCAATTTTGAGTCAAGGCTCTTCAAGGCTCATAGATTTTTGCATTTTCCAGATAAATCTGTTCGAAATTTTGCTGTTACCGTTTTAATCGTATTACCATGGAGGAGCAAAACCCCATGTAGATTTGTGTGTTGGGCACACTTCCACTTTTATAGCATCACATGTTGTTACCATTGTAGTACATTTTGCTGCAAAAATATTCTGTACACTTGTGGGGCTAATGAGATGATCACTTAAATTGCATACAATTATGGAATAGATATCTGATTGGTTGTATGTCTCCCTGATAAGTGCTTAAGATTTGCATGTATCTGTTTCAGATAATACTGATATTTCTGACCATGTTGGCCCAGCAAATAAAAATTTCCCAAATCCGTTTCTTGGATCCCCCTTTTGTTACACTCGGGAGAATTGTGAGTCAATATAGAAGTAAATCTTTATTTTGTTTTAGTTAAACCATAATGAAGACCTGAACTTATACTTTATTAGATCGAATGCAGTCATAAAACGGTGTATGCGAGCATGTTGATTGCAATTTAAGACATGTTGTTCTTCTTAATGGGCGATTCGTGATGATGTGTCATGTGACTATAATTAGTTGTATATCAGTGGTCATTTTATAAACAGGGCCTTGGCCTTGGCCTTAGCCTTGAGGGTTAAGCCTTGGACTTGGCCTCGAGGCTTGAAGGTCTAAGCCTTGGCCTTGGCTTTGGCCTTGAGGGTCAAAGCCTTGGCCTTGGCCTTTCCTTGAAGGTTTAAGCCTTTGCTCCAACACTGATCAGCCAAGAGACTAACACCGTTGAAAGCAAATTCATATCTATTACCACTTTTAAATAATAAGCCACTTCCGATTTCGGCCTTTTTCGACCGGAAGCAAGGGTCACGTGATTGCACGCACACTGAATGCAATAAAGACCTCAACCTACTCTACCACTGGCCGGCAACAGAATGCTGCGGACGCGTACGGTTGATTTCTTATGCATTTTTTTATATTAAAAGTGTCACAGTTTAATTGCCTATAAATAAATACCGGATGACGTCATCATGACGTCATCATCACACAATGTTGTTTGATTTAGGGTCTTTTCCTGAACAAAGAGCGGTGTAAATGAATAACTGGCAAACAGTCGAAAATGCCCTTTGAAAATCGACATTTTTAGGTGTTGGGCCTGAGCCCAACACCTATTGTTTTTGTTAGAATTTACTATTATTTTTTTTTTATTTTTTTTTTTTTAATTATTATTCTTCAAGACACATTTCTTCTCCGGAACTGTTTGTCAACATGAAAAGTGATATGAACTTTAATTGTCAATACATG